AATCGTTGCTGATTGAAGAAAATTAAATTGGAGCGTAAAGAATTGGAGGAAAAACAATGGCGCTGGTGAACGGAAGTGACCTCGGGCTCCTAGCGAATTATCGTGTCCCAGACCTAGGAAACAAAATACAACGGTGTTTCGAGTGAAATTAACCACTAGAATCTTCGTATTCTCTCAGCTGAAAATTGCATCTCGCTGCATCGTTATCGATGCATCCTAATATTTAATGCAATTGAAGTTTTGTCATTTATTATTCAGGGTCTCTCAACGTCAACAGAATTTTTTCTAGCCGTTTTGTAGCCACGATCGAAGTCCCTTTCTTCTTCTACCGGCGTTCTCAAGGATTCCCGTTTGAAACGAAGCAAACAACTTGGACGATTTAGCATCCACGTAGCGGCTTACACGAAATCGGAAGAGTCCAGTATTTATTCTCGCGTTTAGCAACCGTTTTACAGTTATGTCTCGTGGTAATAAGTTTTCTATACGACGTACCTTCGTACGAGAAGTCTCCAGTTAGCCTTGCTCGTTTCTTTCGTTCCTTTTTTCACGGCAAAAACCGGTGCAGCACGGTATGCGAAGGAAAAATTCGGTGGTTTGAAAGTCAGTCGAACTTTTTGCCAAATCGACCATGATAAATCGCGGTTGATCGAGAATATAAATTTTTCCAGCCGCGCGTTTAGCGAACAAAACGCGTACATATTTTCATTACGAATTGGAAAACAATTTTGAAGACGATAGTTAACAGAGAAAAACAGAGAACTTTGTTTTTCTATGAATTTACGAGAAACGTTCAAACGGTTCTAAGAATTTCTTCTTTGAAGAAAATTTATTCCTAACCAGAGATAAAAGATACAGTTACTTTCATTCTCTTTACGGGTATCTTGATTTACAATTAGTCACAGAAGACACCTATAAATCACACGGACGGCCATCGTTTCCTTTCTCTGGAAAAGGGGTGTAAAACCAAGCGAGACCATTCACCAGTTCCCACAAAATCACGGAATAACGATTATTTATCAATGCTTTGATCGCGCTACAATGAGAAGAAATTTTCTGCTAATAAATTACCATGAGATGCAATTATTGATGCCAGAATTGCTCGAAAATTAACGCGTCGATTGTCACCGAAGAAATAACGATATCTGATTAATTTTCTAATTCGAGGCTTGAAATTATACTTGGATGCTGTAATTTTCCTTCTTTTGTTAATTTGAAAGATTAAAAAAAAATAAATAGTAGAATTAGTAGCTAATAATTTAGAATACTTGTTGAATTGAAACGATTCAGAATAATCAACAGAATGTTGCATAATACCTTCCATAAAAGTTAAAAAAAAAAAAATTCGAACATTTTAAAGCGCTGGAAGAGGGGTCACGATCTTTCGCTGTATCTTCCAATTCAATGACGCGTGCACGCTTTGCAATCGCTGCATTAGATGCATCCATCCACGAATCCAATCCATCTATCCACATTGTCATTAACGCTCATTTTGCGTCGTTGCGCCATTCTGCACAGACTGATGATAAGCAGCGTCTAAATCAGGCAAATCACTTTTCACAGATGCATCAACGTTGCATTTTCACTCGACCATCAAATAAATGCAATGATAATCTGAGGAATAAGATCCCTGAAAGGTGCACCATAGGCTAGATAATTTCCCGAGAAAATATAGAAAAATTCTTGAGATCCAAAAACATCTTAACGAAATCGATCGAGTTATCAGAGCTTGGAAAATCATGAATTTTCCCACGGAATCAGTTTCTTTCTATGCTCGCGATGGAAATTCGCGAAAGTGGAGCAAGCCGGTGTTTGTCAAGCCTCGAAGAGCTAATTGTCGATCCCTGGGTGATCAGAATGAAACGTTAATGACGGATGATAATCAGAAGTGAAGGTAAAGTGTTCACGGTGCGCAGAGCTGACGGGTTACAGCGGAGGTATCGAGCCGTTAATTTCAAATAAACGGAAAAGCACGTTCGCCGTACGACTTTCACTGTCGACCTGCCACGGCAAACAGAGAATACTGGAATTGTTGGCAGAGGTCCGCAAATTGCAGCAATATCCAAGCCAGAGGATATCAAGATTAGCGATGGCTTCGAACCTGGACCCGTTCAGAAATATTTCCAAGAAACAAGTAGATTCTTCCCTGACCATAACGAATTGCAACCCTTTATCATATCTTTATATCATGAGAATAATACGATAGTTAGGAAAGATACGGATGAAAGGATCTTGAATAGTTTCCATTGAATAGTTATCTCCTCCAACACGATCAAACGATAAAGTCATACAGATAGATAATCACGTAATTATCTTGAGTAACGTGTTTCCTTGATTTCAGGAAATTCCCTAGGTGCTCAATCTAGCTGTAAAGAGATGAGGCACAATTATTGGGTGATTATTCCAAGTGAAATAACCATTATTCCGAGAGCTGTAATAGTTACACAATGTGAATGTTCGATACTAGATTTCTATAAAAAAAAAACAAAGATGCGCGAATTATCAAACGCGAATGCAATTATTAAATTAACTCCCGAGTTTTTTTCAAATTAATTAAATGCACGAATACGTAATCCTGATGAGAGAAAACATGCTATTGGACAACCCTAACATCTTATCGGTGAAAAATAATAAATACAACGAACAGGATACGTTTGTTTAACGTATCGATGTTACCTACGCGTGAAAACAACGATTACTCATCGAATAAGCTGACAATGTAACCGATTTGAAATTATTCATCGTACTCGATTCGCGTTTAATCCTATTCGTCTACAAACGAACGGCTCCGACTGATCCGATGAAACGGGTTTTATATACCTGTAAGTATATTCCTCGCGAGCGTGCTCGGAAAGATCAAGTTAAAAGGAGAGAACCTGGCGTTACATTGCAACCTCCGACCCAGATAAAGAATGCTACGGTGCACTCGTTGCAGGTGAATGCACCCGGCACCAACAGACCAGACACTTCGGAGGCCATTATTTGGGAAAAGGTGTAAACATACGAAAATACCATTACTTATCAAGGTATTTAATACCTTGTTCGACCACAGTGATAATGTCCATGGTGTGGTCAGACACGTATCGAAATATTTAATTTTTCTCTCTTTCTCTTATTTTTTTTTTTCCTAATGATTTAGACGTGTGATTCGTGAAATTTCCAAACGTGAAATTAATTTCCCGTTTAATATCCGGTACACGTGGTAAACAACAGCTCCATTTCTTATCGCTGCGGCTTATGGAAACAAGATTTGCTGCCTCTCGATCCGCTAAATCTCAATTTAAATTCTTCCTGTCTAAGAATAACTGCTCTTCGTGTAAAATCTGTTCGATCTCAGTTTATGTTTCTGCCACGTTCGGGGAACGACTTACGTGAAACTTGCTCCGATCTTGTTCAGATCTATGCACTTACGTACAGCGAATAGTAAAAGTATTCTTATACTTTCGATTAACGCTCATTTGGGGAGGGCATTTTGGACCCATGTCTTAAGGGCCAAAATACAACTTAAGGGGGGAACCTGGTTAGAGGGTCGAAAAAATCGATCTTTTGGAAGACATATTAATCGATATTTCAGGTCAAAGTTTCAGGTCGAAATTCGAAGTACTATTGTTTATGTTTTAATGAACCGGGACTTATTTTAAAGCTTATTAGTATAGCTTCTATTTAAACTAAAAACATTGTGTAAAAAGTTATGTTAAACAACTTTTTTTTGCAAATCATCGTTCAATTTGGTGGGTAAAAAATGAAATTTTTCTTCAATATTGAATAAATTTGTCGATTTTCAACTTTCTAATACTTTTTTTAGTTCAAATAGAAAGTAAGTTCATAAAGTTGAAAAATTTCTTTGTTTTTTATGTTTCAAATAAAAAGAATGGCCGCTATCGTGTACGCAATGGACGGCCGTCAGCAGCGAGGTGCCATGAACAACTAATTTCTATTATATAACGTGATTATATTGTAATAAAAAAATTTTTTTTACAAGTTTATATTCCCAATAAAACAGCTAAAAGATTCTTAAACTGATTACTATGAATTAAAGTAAAAAAAAAAATTGCCCAATATGCAATTTTCAGCGTCCTAAACCAGGTTCCCCTTTTAACGCATAACGTCCTACTGGTCCTTTTTACTGTATTATTATCGCGCGTGTACGGACCATTTTTACACAAAGATATATTGTATTTTTATAGAAAAACAAATTTATTTTGCATAATTTTATGTGTTGCATAGCAGTACGTTTACTTAGCCAAATAATGGTAAGAAATGATGCAGCACGATGCATTGAACTAAACGTGTAACAGGTATGCGAAGGCGGTTTTTCCGTGAGTATGGCGGGGAGAGAAGCACAGTCAAGGCAAAAGTAGGGTAAATGTATCCACGTAGGCACACGACTCTCCTTTGGAGATCAATCAGAGCGAGCATAGAATTTTGCAAATATTTTCTACGTTACTATATTAATTAGTCCTAACAATGCGGTCATAAATGTATTTTTACTTAATAGCTTCATCTACAGAATTATTGGATTTTTAATCTTGGAAATTATATTTACTATTTAATATAAACATTGTCAGAGAAATGTCGTTGAAAAAAAAGAAAAATTATGTTCCATGACCCAGTGATCGGTATGCAAGGATTATACAGTTAGTATAATTCACTTGGTTACACTCTCGAGAATATTCCGACGGAAAAGGATGAGCTAGCAAAACGGGAAGGTCAAATTGAAGCAGGACGACTCTGTTTATCCCGTCATCTGTTCGAGAGCAACCAGGCTGAATCACGAAAACGTATGTACGATCAGTTGTGTCCGGTGCGTTTAAGGTCAATGCACGAGAATCGAACGTTCGCATGAACGCGTTTCACGGCGCACCGTAAGGTACATGGCGAACGCGATAGATCCGCGACATACCGTAGCTGTCATGCTTGTCAATCAGGTTGCCGAACGATCGTTCGATCGCATGTCGTTAAAATAAAAAAGAAGAGAAGAGTAAAGGTAAGAATTTACTTACCGAGAATCGCCTGGAGGGTTTGCTCGTCCCCGTCCCCGATGACATCCATACCTCCGTTGATAATCGGACCCCTGAGATCTTCCGGGCCCCTTCAACGGGCCCCATTTTGTCTCCAGGCTACGATGTCACTCGACGTGACGTCCCACATAGTACGTAACGTTTAATGTAACTCTCTTCCGTTTTTTCTTTCTCTACCTCTCTCACTCTCTTTTTCTCGATGTCCGTTTAGTAGACGTCTCTCCGGTTTTATTTAATATCACGTATTCCACGTCCTTTTATCCCCTTTTAAATTCACCGAACGACACGACTCTTTCCGTGTGGTCACTTGTGTTTCCTTGTTACCTTCGAGCGCAGCGACACGATCTACGAACGATCGAGAATCGGCACGGTGAGCGACGACGACGACGACGACAACAAGACCATCGCGATGAAAACAAATATTTCCTTCCAACGCGAATTAAACTTGTACACTCGGCGAATTCGTGGACCGGTTTTGTTTTTATTCTACTCCGTACGAACGATTTCTCCGTGTTTATTTCTCTACTGTTGACTCGTACACCCAGGAGCCGTGTCGAATCCCGAGGCGCGGACTAAACTTCAGTTCCGTGCCGACAGCACACGCGCACGGTACGTAATACATGCAAACGCGCCCCGTGTATGTCGCGCCGAGAACAAGTTGATCACGTGACACACTTCAGTCTATTCCGTGCGAAGTTTGAAAGAGGCGCGTCGCCGCGATCATTCGTAAATATATTCCCGGCTTTTACGGTAAAAGTGCGTGTTCTTGATTGTTCGTTGCGAAATAACAAAGACGAATTAAAGTAGAATCTTACTGATAACGTGTGTTTAACTAATTGTAAAGATTTATACGATAATATCAAAGTGTAAAAAGGAACCTCGTCTTTGGAAGAATCCATGACACAAGATGGCGGCACCGCCCTACAACACACGCGGTAAATCAAAATCCATGAATTTTTTTCTTCGATCGCTGCTGGAATCTACAAAAATGTAAGTTTTTAATGTTTATTCGAAATTTTTGCCTACATAAAGATGTATGTGTACGTGTATAACTGCTGTTTTCGAAATTATTCATTTTTATTGCTTGTAATGAAATAGAGGAGAAAAATTTTGTTAGATATAAAAATAAATTTTTATTCTTAATAAATATTCGATATCCTCGCTTAAAACATTAAGCGTTCAATGAACGTATATTGTATTACACATATGTACATTTTCTATGTTAAAATCTAAAAAATATTAAATAAGTGATATGAAGGGAATATAATGCAATGTTTCATAATTGAAACTATAAACTTAATTTTAATCAATAATAAAAGATACAAATGTTCAATAACAATTTCCATAATCAAAATAGCAAAATACAATTTCAAGTGTTAGTTTGAATTCAACAAATTTTATATACTTCTGGTATACAATAGAAATACGTTTATGGAAATAAATACAAAATATTTCATAAGACACGCAAGTAACAAACAAAACAATGACATATATGTGTTATGAAATTATTTGCACCGATTTGTAAATAATTATTTAATGCAATAGTACTTTGTCTGCTAAGCACGTACACATAAATCTTGTATGGGTACTATAAACATTTATTACGTCACATAAGTACAATTGAACACCAAAGGGCTTCTAAATTATTGTTGTTATTATTATTGTTATTGTTACGTTAATACGTTTACATTAAAGTCACTTTAATATATTCATAAATAATTTACTCTTGATTTTCTTACACAAATACACAATTTCTTAAATATAATTTGCTCTCTGTACAACGTATGTACAAATGTATATGTATACATATCACAAACTTTCACTCAAAATTCACATTCATATGGTTCGCGTACAAGACAGAAAAATTCTGAGACGTTATATCGATAATTTGATGAAAGGTGTTAAACACGATTGACAAGGTGAATAGACTAATTATGTCTGAAACAACATTTGGCTCCACTATAACACACTCGTACAAACAATTGCTAAGACTGTTCATGATAGTTCTGAAATTAAAGTCTGATGAAAAATCGTTGTAAAAATAAATTAAAGTTAGAGAGTAAGAAATCTTAGATTCTGCATTATATTTTGTCATGGTATGCGATATTAGGTAAATACTAACAGCTTTGGTATGTTACACTGTTCAAATTTGTGGTTGAGTAAAGTTCATTTGTTCGAGTCATGAAATTTCATACTTAGAAATGTTATTAATCGATTCAAACTATGCCATCCTTGTCAACAAATTCGTTTTCAATTTATCCAAAAGTTTGCGTCACACTTATTGTCAGCTACAGAGTAATCTATAAACGAACAAACGAACAAGACATAATCACTTGTAAAGAAGCTGTAGCTCATTTCATTTTTCATTTATACGATTGTAAAGTAGCGAATAGAATAAATAATTAATTTTATAGTTAATACTTGAAAAAACACTATACAATGACATCAATCTTGATTCACTAATTTGGGAATGAATAAAATTTCCATCAATGTTTAGATCAACAAACTCAACCTACAATTTACTACTCTGAATTACAGTTATTTTTTTTTTTTTTAGATCAAACTACATTTATGACCATCATGCATGTCATAAATTTCAGTTTGTTACAGAAGCATATTTATTTCTAGTTAGATTTATAACTTACATAATAAACGTATTGTACTACCTGCATTCAGTCTTTGTTGATAAATTAATTAAAAGTCATGGAAATCATTGTATACATCAAACTGTAAAATTAACTAGGAACTACAAATAGGATAAAAATATCTCATTGATCTGGGTCCCGATTTAGTAACGAATTTAATCTGCCTTTCTGTATTTATGATCTGATGGTTTTAGTTAAGTATTTCCAATAGCATTGTTATCTGTAATCGTGTATATTGGGCAGCTGAATTTGATTTGTACAACAGTTTGCTGCACTGAAAAGTTAAGGAAAAACTGCTCGTACCGTGGAAAGTTCAAGACTAAGAATAGCGTAACTGCAAAATCTGTATAACTGATTAACCCGTAACACACAGATAATACGTAAAAATTTCAATCAACACTGACAAACCCTGATTCTTTTCTTTTTTTTTTTTTCTGTTTTACTTCATAAGTTAAATCGAAATATTCTTGTTCATTTGTCAAACAGTTTTAATTCCGTTTAAGAATATGTTCCTTAGAACGTGAGTCAATTAACCATTTACCTTTGTCTTGAGCTTTGTGACTTGATATTAATTGTCAACAATTCGTCATGGCAGTATAGAAATGGCAGCTTTTTTTTTTAATGAGACAGAACTCATGTTGAATAGGTGAAAACAGTTGAGATATATCCACCGGATCTCGAGTTGAAATTGAGATTCTCTTCATAGTATTTCCTTCACGGCAAAAGTATTCAGATCTGGACGAATCAATGTGTTGCAGACAATATCCAACAGTCGTGTCAGAAACCTTTTCATAGTAATTCTCAGAAGAATTTTTCTTTTAGTTAATTCCTATCAATTCGATCACCTCGGTTCTTTCATTCCCCTGAACTCGATGATTTACCACCATCGAGGGTTTGTTCGTACAGACAAAGTGCACGATGAACGAATTCGTACTGTTCTGCTGTTTGAACCATGCCTCCTCTATCGTATCTGTAAAATAAAAAGAATTATTTCTAAACGAATAATTCGAGGTTTGAATATAAATTGTGATTCAATTTTATACAAATTTCCTACCTCATTTGACATAAAATACCAAGTACGTCTACATTTCCATCTCGCAATAACTGCGTCATCCCCGTTGCTAAAGCTATGAAACAGCCAGTTCGTCCGATTCCTGCACTGCAGTGGACAACGACTGGCCCTGGCAGGGAATTTACTTCTGCAGCTAAGCTCACAAGAGTATCTGCAGCTTGAGGTACTGCATGGTCCGGCCATGAATCATACCTATGATTAATTCATTAAAATTACAGTTACACATCGTGTATCAACACGTGTATCGTTCCTAAGATCAATGATCCGATGTTAATTTACCAGTAATGCTGTACATGTCTTCTTTCTCCTTCGCATCTAAGCTCTAGATCTCTGATCGTGTAACCGTCCCTTGTATCGATAGAATTCGCGATAATAGTAAAATTTCCCGCTTGTACACGACCGTTTTTATCCTGTGGAAAGTATGCCTCGCATTTTGTTTTCGCAGCTTCGTGTAACTTTGTTATCATAACGACAACAGAGACCTTGTCTGCCCACACCATTTTCCAAAAGTCAGCTACAGTGTGAGACAATGGTCCCTGGGTTGCGATATAACGAGCGTCTTCTCCGTCGTATCCCTATAAAACCAAGATAGGATTGTATTATATTTAAATAGAGAAATTTAGAAAAATTTTCATTCAATTCTGTTTTCAACATACTCGTATATAGTTGGCATTAATGTAACTAGAAAGAGGATCGTCAGAAGAGCCCGGTAAAACGACTCTCGACTGTGGATTCGGTAATACAGAACAGTATCTATTCTTCGCTCCAGATCCACAAATATCTAGTTCATCTGGTAAATTAAGTGGAACCTCCCAAAATTCTTTGTGCAGCGATGACGGATCACTGATAGCCTTTTTAAGCTGTGTTCTGGATAGAACATTTCCAGCGCTCAATAAAAATTCCTCTGCGGTACACTCGCGAGTAGGAGTTACTATGTGCGGTGGACTTTCAGGAGGAGGTGCTAATTCTATAGTCAAACTTGCACTTGATCCACGTCGTTCCAGTAATCTTTTAGCTTTTATGCGTATCGGTTCTGGTCTACGTTCCGGTGTCATTACCGACATTACCTCTGGTAAGCCAGTAGCTTGAGTAAGCGGTTTGATAGATTGAACAGTATGAATAGATGCCTTTGCCGTAGGTTGATGAACCCATTCGATCGATCCTTTCGTAGCTTTGGTAGTCTTTTCTGGAGGACATACCGCACCTTCCTCTACCAAACCTCTCCTATCACCATCTTCTGTATCCTTTTCACGCGACATTTGTTTCCTCAGCCATAACAAAACCTAACGATCAAACGTTGTTATAGATTCTGATTTGGTGCATTCTGTAGAACAGAAATTTTCTATCAATCTTACCAGGAATGTAAAGAGAATAGCGCCAGCGATGGCGCAGAGTGCTACGAACAGAGGCAATTGCCAGTCTAGCCATGATAATGTCGCAGTGGAGTGTACCACCTGTCCTGTACGGGTACTAAATTGAGCTGCTTGCAAATCCATACCAGCATCATTCAGTCCCGTTATGGACTGTGGGATCCTATGTACAACAAATTGATATCTAATATTTCTTCCAATAATAATGACATCAATCAGATTAGACGTAAGATCATTTTATAATACCTGTGATGAGATCGAGCAGACATTCCCTCGGTAGATGGTAATAAAGGAATAGGCAGCACAGAATCTGTGTGCCACCTTTGTTCTGTAATTAAGTAAAATTTCTCCAAGGGATCTGAATTGTCATTATTGCTTGAGATATCATAATAGTTTGCATCGTTTACATAGTGATTGGTTAAAGGAGTACTTGTACCTCCTGCAACAAAAATGAAATACACAATTAGTAATAGATGAATCAATTGTTTCTTCGATTATTAAAATTTCAAATTTTAATGATAATTTGACACAATGTTATCCACCTCTGTACACTCCAAGGCACTCACTAGAAATGAAACTTTATTTACGCTGAAAGTTACACGAAATGTCTGTAATATATTTGCGTAAGATTCCGTATGAAAGGAAATTTAATCAAAGGGACACCGAACTGCCTTCTGTTCTTTTTTTTTCAACGTAATACCAAATATCGTCCCGTCGTTGTTTCACTGAGTCCGACGGGTAACAATTCGTCGCATTCGACGGCAATTCTAATGATTTTAAGTTTCGGGAAATGATCCATCAGAAACGGAAAGAACAGCTTCCGTGGCGTTACACAGGAAGTAAACATCGTGGTTATTTTATGAACGGAGGACCAAGGAAATTCTGAAGTGGGGAAGGGTGACAGAGTAACGAGCAGATGGAGTATACACCAATGAGAGAACTGTATGTGACAAGTGGATGAATAGACGTCGTTCTAGTCACAGGCACGAGTACCAAGGCGCAACGTGTGTATGCACGCTTTACACACAAAGAAGAAAACGTGGAACACAAATAAACTACATCCTGTTTTCCGAGCATGTGTGCGCCGTGTCAACGTTGCGCGTACACGGCACGGTGTCGCGTGATACGAGTAACACGCAACAGAAGTGGATACACAAATGAACGATATAATACCTTTCGTCAAAAGTGCATTCGCTAGAAACACCAAGATCGTACGATTCAAATTAACTTGTAACTTGTGATTTGAAAGTAGCGGCTGCGTGGACGTGTAAACAGCCATGTTTGAGATTCGTTAAGCGAAATATCAGACGGTCTCGTCTGCGCAAGCCTCTGATTCGAACTGCCGAAGACGCCGTTCGTGTACCCTGACCTGGGCTTCGGTAGACTTCGGCCTTGTACGCGGTTACTTACGGGAGGGAACACCGACCAATCAGCGCGTAGACGCACGCAACGACCGACCAATCGCGCGTATAGTTTACTACCAGTACCAGGAATTTGGCGGGAGGGACTCAAGGTGAATGAAAGCGAAGCACGTGCAACTAATGATAGTAAAGTGCATTCGGAATCAAGTTTTACGTTTGCCCATTGAGTAGAAGCGAGAACGTCGGTTCCGCCCCGGACCGGGGCCGACAAATATACACGTCGCGTCGTTTCGAATCGTTTACCTCCGGTGAACGTTCTCACGCGGACAATTACTTCCGGAACTATCGCTTTCCAACGTATCACGTCGAAATCCGCAACGCGTTTCTCGTTAACCCAACGATTGCGCGAAACTTTGTAAACAATTGAAATCAGTCTATGTCGGACAAGAAACGAAACGTTGATAATTTGCAAACGAAATGTCAGCTTTATCGTTCACGTAGCACGATTTATAAATACTTAAAGTTGCAGTAAGAAAAACATATGCGTATCTGGCGATATGCAAAACCTTTATAGGTCACGGATAACCGTCACGGTGGTTAACGTTAAAAGAAACAATTTTCTTTCTGTTGCGCTGACGCATCTCGAGGGTGAATCATCTTTTAGTTGCGCCGTATGAAATTAAAGATTTCTCATGGGGGAGAATAAAAAATAAATAAAAAAGAAAGGAATCGTTAGTACGATGAGTTGGCTAAGTTTAAATTACCGTGTACAAAAATACCGTCGAAACACTGCCTCATGTTTACGCAAGTATCGAATCTTGCGTACTTTTCCATCTGCGAAATGTAAAATGATCGTAGTTTCTCCTCGCTCTTTCAGACTTCTCGCGATTCTGCACGGTTACCACTGTATAAATCGGTGATGAAACGATCTTTGTTTATCTCGCAACTGGATACATGATGTAAAACATGGTAATCCGTGAGACGTTGGCCACGCGAAGCAATACACTGCATTTCCATTAATTTTCTTTTATCAATCGTTCATCGGTAGAAACGATATTGGATCGAACGAGGTATCTAGCCGCGTGTCTTACGCGATCCTCAAGAATATCTCGGTGATTCAGAAAACCGGATGTTACCCATTCATCCCTGCCATACGTCTGACACCCAATATTCGCGTTGTCGAATCATTTTTCTTCTTTTCTTTTATATTTCCTCTCGTGAAAATAATGTAAATTTCAAATTCGATTCATACTGTTTTTTCCTCTTCTTTTTATATTTTATAATATATCCGATAATGTCGAATTCCTCAAGCTTTCGTTCTAATAACAATCTCTGCGACGAGCTGTATTTTGTTATAATATTATTGACTAAAATCGACGCAGCGATTGCTCGTGTTGCAACACACGCAACAACCGTATTTCTCGTAGCTGACGTTCAATGAACTCTCATTTCTCTGAAGCTGCTCGTTGCCTACCGATGCCTGTCACACGACAATTGCTAACCGGCTATCATTGTTGTGGCAGCGGTTGAAAAATCAATAACCAGCATGGCAGAACCGAATCTTCGAACCCTTCGCGTGTATCTCTTCTCTATAAATTCGTGAATTGCTGTCGAATGGAGCCATGATCGTAGATGGACGATAACCAATCGCGATATCACGAAACACCGGTATCATTCTTGCAAAATATATTTTCACAATCCAGATTCTTGTAGCGCACTGTTTGAATTCGATTTATAACGACGCTACGTTAAGCGAAATATCACTGAGAAATAATCGATCGTTTTTCTGAGAAACACTCGACACAATCTATCAATCTCGCGTCGCAGACGAAATCTCGAGAGAAGAAAAGTTGAGCGCGAGACGAAGTTTCACACAGCGAGGGTACGCGAGCGTAGATCTGCACGAATCGTAGGGCGGTCTTGGCACCGACTAAATTAGAGCCTTCATTCACCCTTCGGAGGGAGCTTGCGAGCTTTCGTAGGGCGCACGCAGCCAGACACGCACTTGCGTAAAATTGCTTGCCGTTCATTCGGACGAGAGACGCGTGGGTGGGTATCGGAACATCTTTCAAAGGGTCCTTGCGAAAAACTCGAATAAACGAGGAGAGCTGAATTCCAGCTGACACTAAAGCGAAAAAAAAAATCGGATATTAATAATAACTTGTTTTTCTCGTCATTTGTATAAACAATTTTTTTCTATTTATCGAGATTCGTTCTATGATCAAGTTTAACAAGGCTCGATAAACGATTTTGCCGTTCGCATGACTGGATAGGCGCATCCGCAGTGCTCGCTTGGCGCTCAATGAAAACTCGTTGAACGTTTACTAGAAAGCCATCGTTATTCATCGGTTGCTACATTGGCCGCGTACCTTGCTCACGGCACAAACGCTGATAAAGCGCTTTTGAAAATCGTTCGTCGACGGATCCATTGTTCGTTCTGTACAGCTCGTTGCACGCGGTTCGTTTTACACGACTTCCACGATTGCCCGTCCGAAAAACCGTTCGACGGTTCTATCCGTTTCGTTTTATTCGACTTCGTTAACGGGGGGGAAAAAAAAGAAAGAAACGCGACAGACACCGCGGGTGTCCTTCGTGGGCGCGCAACTTCTGACGAGATTTCACGATTCGACGGAAAGAAAAAAATGAGAAAATTGCGAAACTTTGCGAGGGTAGTATCCTCGTACGCGTGGGTGGAAAATTGCGTTACGAGGAGACGGTTTCCAGGGGCAATAAACGTAAATGCTCTAAGAAACTGCCTCGACGTTCCCTTTTCAACCTTCCATGACCCCCGAATCTTCTATGTTTGCGAGGACAAATAAACAAATAATTAAGGATCTTTTGGGGTACTCGTAGAAACGATTAACCCTCGAATGGCGATGGTCGGGTCAGTCGTTAAAATTAGACATTCAAATTAGAAACCCCTCATCGTAGGTGTGGTCTGCATAAATTCAGCCCCGCCATGCGAAGATTAGGTAAAACCGTTTCTTCATAATTGAATTTGATATATATGTTACCTTAATCTTACACGAGTGCATAGAAGATTAAGCGTAGACTTCTTCGGGCAGAAAAGTAGCCGTGCAGTCGTGTTTTCAAAGCGAAAGAAAAGTGGACAATCTTATAGCAATTTTCTCGAGGTTTACTCGGCAAGCACGTGCAACGTCCCTTTTCTACCTCCAAACTCCTTTCCCTTCCTCTTCGCACCTGGAATCTTACGAAAATCAACATGCAAACTTGCTTTTCAATGATTTAGCAACGTTTAGAAAGCATGGTGGAACAGCTAAATTATACGGTGATTTATTTACAGTCTGTACAACGTGAATCAGCTGAATCGCATGGAGCATTCATATTTCACGAGGATCGCGTGATTGCATTTTTAATGAAAGATGATACGGCTTGTCTCCGTTAAAGTAGATTAGACCATGCCAAATCGATTTCCCGGCTCTAGCTTGTCTCATGACACGCAGTGACTCACAGGAAATCTACGTGACCGTATACTTGATTCCTTTAATTAATACGTTGCTTTTCGCTGCACGCAAATGCGGCTCGTTACGATCTTCTTATTATTTAATCCGTTCGCAAACTCGTTTGGAAACTTATTCTTAAGGATATCTGTTTTTATTCTGCTCAAAGCATTAGATTCTCATAATAATCCCTTAGAGCAACTGATCGGTTGATCATTTTGAACAGTGTATTTTAATTATCGCAATAACAGAAATTTTAGATACTTACCGTTCTGAATGAAACGACGGTAACTTGGTGGCAAGCTCACCTTTAGGTACACGTAAAACACTGTTCGCTTTCATTATCGTTCTTCCTCGTGTTAGCCATTCTTCTCTTTTCACTGAACGCGATCCTTGAAAAATTCATCGTTTTACGTCCAACACGTTTCAACGGGGCCGAGCAACGACCAGCAGCGTGCAAGTCGGTTCATTCAACGAGCGAACCCAGAATTAACCCTCTTGCGATTGAACGAAAGAGTGCGAGTGACAATCAGCCGCGCGTGTTTCCCGCGTGAATAGCTAATAATTAATCGGCCTCGTCTCATCGATAATTACGATTTCTTTTCTCCCGATCTTCTACTCGATACGAGCCCACCCTCTACGTACGAACGTCTTTCTGATCGTTATCTAACGATGCTTCGATGTTTTGGTCGCGCGACGCCGGTTAACTTGCATCGGACGCATCTGAATGGCGTCTGAACGTATTGCAAAATGACGGCCAACTGCATTCACCTCTTTCGGTGGCCGTGGAGGGTGGCAAGGTGGAGTGCAGACGCGCGCATTCGTGACACGGATACGAGACGACCCACCTACCCCTCTTTCACCGTACACTGGTCCCTGCTTCGTCCCCCTGAACACCCAACCGTCGCTGCGGCTATCGATGGTGTCGCTCCTTTTCTTCTCGTTAGAACTGCCACCCTCCTCTACCGTCGACCGAAGTACCTGCATCAGAAACGCGAGTTACCTTGCTCCTCGTACGTCTTTCGGCGTTAGTTGAACCGTGATCTATCCACCCTCCGCGCATATACCCCATATAAGCTACATTATTTTAGGATCGACGTAGATAAGTTCAGGGCTGGTTGAAATTGATGAGTTCAACTTGTACGCGTTGACCTATTTAACGGTTGTTAGGGTAATTCGGTTTTCGAGTCGTTCAACGAATCAGTGAGCGGAAAGGCGAGGGTAGATCGATCCGAGCGGGTCACTTTTAAAATAAATCCTTGACACCGCAGGGATGGCTGCCTCGGAATAGCGGTGGAAACTTAATGGGGTTGGAGAACGTAGACGCAGAACGGTATATCGTCGTAAGTAATTACTCGGTGTAATTGGAATAGAGTCTCGGGGAAGATCAATTTGACTCATTGAAATAAAAACGCATCGCTTGTAGGATGACCTAATATTATCGATCCGGTTCGCAACAGCTTCGAGGAAATTCGCTTCTCGGCCAGTCCATTCAGTCGGACGATGAAAGAAGCTTATGCTTCTCTCGCATAGCTATTCTATTCTCACCTATCTGATTCTTTGATTTTACCTTGTCCCTCCCCCACTTTATCGACCCCCTTCATCCCCTCCGCTCGATCGTCGCGCATTTTACCCCTCTTTTTCGTTCATCTGTGTTCGAGTGACAATTGAACGGCCGGAGTGGAGGGGTATCGGGGAAGGAGAATGCTGAGAGGAGGGAATGTTGAATGAGGGCTCGAGGTTGGAGGGTGAAATGTACGGGGTTGCCGAGGGGTGTCGGGGCGAGGGAAAACAAGCTGGCTGAGAAGAAGGGTGAAGCAAGGGGCTAGAGAGTGTAGGCTAGTCTCGTGGGCGAACCGCGTCCCCAATCGATACACACGCAGCAAACCGTTTCTTCGTCCCCCTCCGATCTTCCTCTAGTCGCCAACCTTTGATTTCGTTACCGATCCGGAATCGAATTGTTCGAGGCCCTTTTATCGATTCCATCGCCAACTCGGTCGCTGCTGAAATTTTCAAAGAAATTCGAAAGAAAATAAAATCTTCCGTCGTACTACGTTGGCGATGAAACGGTTGGCGAAATGGAAAGTGCATTATTTTAATCGTACGATTTATATAGCCAGGTGGACACTTTCTATTGTACGAGGCGAGAACATTTAGGGTCGATGGAACGTTAATTTTCTTTCCCCGTGGTAGGCGAGTAGAAAAGCTTGTAGTACACACGCCGTCTCCGTAAGGCCTCTCGAAATCAATTTAACGAAAGGGTTTCTGTTGTCATTAAGCTTGCCTATTATCCTGCACGCCTTCGATACGAGAGCTCGCCTCGGGCCGAATCGAATTATCTCTCCGTGTAACACGAACGTATATGTGTACGCGTAACCGTGGCACCGTTGGGGTGAAAAATAATCGAGAGGCAATTATTCGATTGAAGTTCAACGCGACGGATGAATTCGAATTCTGATTTCCATCGAACGGGTTCCCTTTCGAAGCCGTCAATTAACGGGCTTCGTTATTCTGCCGTAATTAATTTTCCTTTCGAACTGTGCCAAATATGAAATATTTTTATAAATACACTGGATGTCTCCTGCGAGTCAGCGAAGTTATATCTTTAGCTCGTGTTTTTAATTGTAATCTTCCTACTTGAAATTTGGTTATTTTTGAAAAATTTGGCGATTGAATACCGTTTACTAAAAATATCAAAATTATCTTGTTTGCGATCCGAAAAATAATCGATCGTGGTAATATCTCGCGTGCACGTGTTTGATACGATATCGGAGGCTAGCATTACATCCGGTGGTTATTTTGCAGTTCGATTGGTAAAAATGAAAAAACATCCGGGATCCGGACACTTCCGGTTCGACGTTGATATCGCGGCTCTCGGTTCAGCCGTTAGTCGATCTGACTGCGTCATTTCCTGTTCCGGTCTGGACAGTTTCGCGTACAAGCATATTCTGGCCGTTGATTGGCTGAAATTCGTTCGACAAAAGTCGGCGAACGAGACTCGAGAGATTCGTATAACTTCGACAGACTGTTTCTATTTTCACCCGGTACACGTCGTAGGTGGTGATGAACGCTCCATTATGCTCGGATCAACGATGAAATCCACATGTTTTCTTTTTCTTTGGATACACTTTAAACGATCCGCGATCGCGTCACATCCGCTTCCGGTCTATAACAGATACCAACGGGTGACCATCGTGATTTCACGAAAAACTTCTTTTACGAAGGTCAAGGTTCTTCAAGTCTTCCGAGCCTTAAAATAATTTAATTATAGTCTTCTAATCAAATTTTATTTGCAATGAAATATTTTCGTACCGAATACTTGCTGTTTCGAAATTTTAATTCTTTCACCGTCTTCGGTAGAAAAAGGGTTAACAAAGTAAAATTCTACTCTGAATTCCGTTTCGATCCGGCTCTTACCAGCTGTTTGTTTGCAAGGTTAAAAAAGTTTCCCGAAAGTGTCCTTGTGGAAGATTTTAGACTCTTTCAAATCTTCTCCAGTACCAATGTTCATTCTTTTTTTATTCATCTCCAAAAATAATAAACCGAATTCGACTGAATTTTTGATTAAGATCAATCGTAGTTTCATTGTAATATAAAAATCATTCCGAACGAATGAATGAAAATTGAAAATCGTAGACTACCGTTAACTAAATAACACATCCTCGATAGAAATTACTTGATACGTAACGAACGCGTAAGTTTATCGCGATTTCACTCGTCGAAAAAAAAAAAAAAAATCGTACGATATTAAAGGCACGGGTAATATTTAATTAGTTCTAATCATTGTACAACATCTGTACCGGGTTTCAACTCGCTCTCGGTGCTCGTAAAACCGTATCGGGTCGGGAAACTTTCATAATTAATAGCTGACGAGTTTGGCAAACAACAAACTCGGGTAAAATACAGCTTCTAAAAATATTCATCCGCTTATTATACCTAAAAGTTAAAAAAAAAAATCGAGCTGTTCTGGTAACTTTAATACGTTCGCTACCAACATTCAACAGATCGCTTCTTTTTTTAGAAAATGATATAATAAAAACAAAATTTTTAATTTTATCATATTAATGAAATTTTGCCGGGGAATCGTAGGAAAGGGAAGAAAGGAAATCGAAATTCTATAATAAAATTCGATCCCTCCCCGCGTTTAGAAATAATACAGTCGTTTCCTCAGCATCACCGTGAATGATTGAACGTCACGTCCGGTTTCCGGTCGCATTACGGTACGGAACAACGTCCTTCGGTGTACGACGGTGTGCTGTTGTATAAATCCACGCGTAAGGCGAGGAACAATCGATGATTAATCGGAGCGCGAGCTACTCGGAATGCGTAATTGCGAAACGAACGGAAAGGAGATTGCCTACGTTTCACTTGGAGAAACGAGAGTACCGTATCCGCGCGTCCAACCGAGAATAGAAATCTTTCGCTTTTACGGCTAAAACTATGTGTACTTCTGATAACGAACGCTCCACGGAACTACGTCATTTTTTTTTTTATTATCTTTACCGATACCGAAAGATCATCGTCAGTGCGTAATCTCGGGTTCAACTTTGATTTAGTCATTCGAGTAAATTGAATCTTTTGTTCAAAGTGTTTTACATTATATTTGTCAGTGGTATTTTGAAATAAGATTAAAACGAAGTTTGTTCTTTAAATAAACAAGTGCGAACGGGTTGAAAATGTGAGAGTCAAGAATTTTAAAATAACGATTCGTTCATTGAAATTTTCTGTATACGGTACAGTGAACAATTTTAACCGACAGGGGGTTGATTTTCTATTGAAAGGTGAAAAGATGAATCAAACAAAAGGTAGGCTTTCTGCGAAGGATAAGGTCCGTAGGTTACGAAGGGACTGTCGAAGAAATTTCGGAGCAAGGGGCCGTTTCTTCGAATCGTCGTTTTAAGATCCATCCGGTTTCCCTCTTAGGACCCTTAGGTCGATGCTTCCGCTAGCTCTCGTATTGTATCCTTATACCAGTTTTAGGACATTCGTTTGAAGGGAAGGAAACAGTTTTGGTGCTTCCCGTTGCCGGCCGGAAACGAATTTGCGTTTCCTCTTACCTGGAGGTGTCGGGTATCCTAACGAACATTCATTCTCCTCAGTTAGCTCGTTACTGATCCATAAATTCTTCAAAAGAATAGGAGAATTTTTACCAAATTACCGACTGATTTCTTGAATCGTAAAATACAACTGTTCAATGAATTTAAAAATGTAAAATCTTATCGATGCGATAGGAAATTTAATTATAACGTATCCTCCCTCTATGAAATCTTATTCATAGAGATAAGTTGTAAAAAGCAAGGAAACGAGCAGATATGGATTGAAGGAAACACGTGTTCTTTTTGATACCTATTTTTTATAGTGTTCAGGAATGTTGAATTACTAATCCAAAGACATCGTTCAATGAATTCTTTGTTCCTTCCGTGAATAAGCAAAGTTTCCTCAATGTGGAACGTGCTTTGGATAACCGAGCTAATTATAACGTCGTCCCTTCCTAGATCGAGTTTCCCTCGCGTAGATAATTCTTAAACGAGAGCATTGGCGTAATTAGGGATTTTTCCTTATTTGGAGAAATTTGGAAATCTTTGAAATTCTGGAATTTAAAAATGATAGAAACTCAATTGACAGGAACTAAATTAAATTTTAAAAAATGTTAGAAAACTGAGCTAATTAGGAAGCTGGCGTAATTAAGAATTATTTTTTAACCCTTTGGAAATTCTGGAATTGCGAACTCCTTCAGTTTCACA